ATAAAATGAGGCCCCAATTTATACATTAAACATGAAATTTAAAAATTTAAGATTATATATTTGAGGAATTTGTTCGAACTTTTGTTCAGTCAAATTGCAATAATGAAATTCCTCAAAAATAAGGTGAAATAATTCCATTCATGGGACACGATATAACAAGAATATTGAATATATGAAACTGACGCGAGGTGTAGGTTGTTGGATGTAATCTTAAGTTAATTTATTATCTCTGTTCATCTGATTAACTGCTGCACTACTTGAATTGATAATGTCCATCTTTATTATTTTGCCAACAGAATGATTGTAATTCACAAGGCAAATTCTCCACCAAAGTTAAAGGAATCTCGTTCCCCAAATTATTATTATTATTATTGAGGAATGAACCTCCAATCAAAAGTTTTAAAGGTGTTCTTGTTTTCCACTAGACTAATGGCTTGTTCTCATACATTTATTTTCAGTTTAGTTCAGTTCAGTTTAGTTCAGATCTGTTCAGTTCAGTTCCTAATTTCCTTCTATTATAAAATATTCATTTCACTTCAATTCAATTCACTGATTTTAGTCGATTAAAACAGGCCCTAATTCTAGCTTGGTGGTAGTTATATAACCTATATCTGCTATATGTACTCTCAATATTTCCCAAATTATTATTGGCTCAATTGGAATGCATCCAACTTCATCCTCAACTTAGCCACTTGTTGCAAAAATAGTCGTCTACAGTTGTACTTGCATTATTTTATTAATTATGTACATCATCACGTTTTTTTAATTTTAAGTGAGAGGATTTGATTATGACCGCTTTGTTTCTTTATTAAAGTTTGTTTTTCAGCCACTTTTTCTTATCTCACAACGTGGCTATTCTGGCTAATTTGATTTGCTAATACTATAGATACGAGTAGTGATTGACATAAAAGAATCCAAAGAAATTATTTTCGTTATATGATAAAAGTAAAACATGGATATATTGCTACGTTCTCGGCTCCCCACATCATCATAATTGTGGATGTTATGCTTCGCAAAATGCTCTGGCCGACAAATCATTTTCATCTATGGCCCCGTAATTAATAGAGGAGCGAACTTTGAATTATATACTCTCTCCGTTTCTATTACTTGTATATTTCCATCTATCCATTACATATTCGATTAAATGTGACTGAATTATTATTTAAGGGCAGGACCACGGTGTATGTCTACTATTATTCTTCATAGTGGTGCTTAAAATTGAATTATTTGATGGATGTTTCATGTTTATATATAATTGCTGCCCTAGTGGCTTATTAGTGACCTACTTGACTACTTGCACATAAGAGGGTAAGGATTTTCAAACCCAGCCAATTCTGTAGGTGAGGTCGATAATTAACTAGATTTTTATTGTCATTGAAATATCTTTTTTCCCATTTTTGTCATGATTAATAATGCACTAGTATCCTTTTGACATTTTGCTTCAGTTCAAAAGTAGTGTGTGCAATAATGTCTAGTCCTTGTTTTTTTCAAATATAAAAGAATAAAACAAAAATAAAATTTGCTGAGATGTATTTGCAGATCAGAAGACTGAATATTTATTATTGTTGTCATTGAAAATATTTAATGTTCAAAATCTGCTCCTACATACAATGAATAATAATTGTTGTCATTGATGAACAATACATATGAGGCATTTGCAGAAGATTGTATGTTGTTTCTTGATTTTTCATCAAATAAGGGAACTACCAATCAGTAACAGAAGCCAACAAAATAAAGAAGTATATTGTGATAGATTTAGGAAGTTATTGAATAATTATCACAATAATATCTCATATGATATTATTCTCATAATATCATATCACGATATACATTCTTATCTGGATTACGTTTATTTTGTAACAAACAAATTAAAAGAACACAATAACACTCACTCCATCATATCACCTCCCTACTATTAAACATGTATATATAATAGGAAATTTTGTGAAAAACTACCTATTATAGTCTAGAATTTTCGGGAAACTACCTGTTAAAAAAAATGTTGTAATCGACTACCTAATTTTTGAAAAATGTTGTAATTTACTACCTTACGCCGGATTATGAAGGAGTTTAACCAAAATTCTCTAGCGTCACGTGATACTTAATGACCCTTTTTTCCCCCCAAATTTTCTCACAATTTTCCCACGTGATGGTCACTAAGTGTCACGTGACCAAGTCAACGCCGGAAAATTTAGGTCAAACTTCATAATCCGGCGTAAGGTAGTATATTACAACATTTTTCAAAAGTAAGGAAGTCAATTACAACATTTTTTTAATAAGTAGTTTCTCGCAAATTCTGGACTATAATACGTAGTTTTTCACAAACTTTCCTATATAATACGATTGAAATTAGTTGTTTTTTTGTTTGTTCACTTTGTCGGATCAAAAAAAAAAAAAAAATTAAATTAAAATTGTGTACATGCAAGAATTTTAATTCAGGATTTTTCTGATAAAAAAAAAAGTTTATTCCAAGCATATATTTTCTTGTCTCTTAAAATGAAGTACATACGTACATGTGTATTAAATAGGTTTAATTATAAATTTTGGGAGTAATGTTTTTTTTTTTTTTTTTTTTTTTTTTTTTTTTTTTTAAATATGGTATACTATGTTGTACTCCTAATAAAGGCTAAGATCAATTGGTAAATTATTCTCTCTATCCCAATTTAATTATCACACTATTCTTAAATAGAATAAAGCTACTAAAATGGTACTCCCTCCGTCCCTTAATACAAAACCTATTTCTAGCATTTATTCCTCACATAATAAAGAGAAAATGGTTTTTCATTTAGAAATGGAGGGAGTACTTGTATATCTTTTCTCTTCCACAGTACAAAAAAACATTATGGTCTCAGACTCTCACTCTCCATCTCATTTTATCAAAATACTTCAATTCCTCTACTTAATAAATTTATGTGTCTGGTGTCCCACACCACTTGGAAAAATATGTAAGGAGAAGAGAGAGAAAGTCAAGTGCAGGGCTTGTTCTGATATACTGAACTGAGTTGAAATGAACTGAACTGATTGGAACTGAACTGCACTGAAATGAATTGTTTCTGAGAGAAGAAAATGTTACTGTTTGTCTATTCGGGACGAGGCAGGCTCCCCAACCCCACGAGGGAGAGTATTCCCAAGAAGGAAGTTCGCAAAATTTAGAAAATGAACTGAATTGATTGGAGCTGAACTAAACTGAACTGAAATTAAGCTGAAGAGATTAGGCCCTATGGTCGGTGCACATGATTTCCTTTATCATAAATGTTTTTTTTTTTAATTATTATTTTTATGAAGTTGACTAACAAAAGTTTACTACTCTGTATATACAATAACATCGAAGGAAGAAATCTTGTAAAACCTTGTGTGAACCTTCTTATAACAAGTAAATTAGAACGAAAGGAGTACGATTTTATTAAAATAATTAGTTTTCTATGCTGAGCGACAACTGGGTTTTTGCATAATTACTAGCACTCTCAAAATGGTTAGAAAACAGTTTGGGTTTGGTTTGATTTGAAATCGGTTGGGTATTAAGTTTGAAATTGGTTTAAATGTCTCGCGGGTCGGTTCCAATTAGGTTTAAATAGTTATCGATTCGATTTGGTCTCAGTTTATTTTTGAGCGTTTTAATTCGGTTTCGGTTGTAAACAGTCTGGGTAGTAAACGGTTCGGTGCAGACAGGTTGCAGTTTGTTAACGGTTCGGTGTAAACAGTTTTTATCCCGGTTCAAACAATTTCAGGTTGGAAACGATTTCGGGTTATAAACAACTCGATTCTTTTTCGGATCAATTTATAACTAGTTCGGTTCTTTTTTGGTTCTGTTTATAACTGGTTCATTTCTTTTTCGGTTCAGTTTATAACTGATTCGGTTCTTTTTCGGTTCAGTTTATGTAGGAGGATTTTTAGTGGCAGGAAGATATTTTTATATTATGATAATAATTTAGTAGGAAGATATTTTAAACTATGATAATAAATATTCAATAAATATTAACTTGGCAGGAAGAATTTTTGTGCTATGATAATTAAATTTCATTTAAAATACCTTTTAACTTGATTTTAATATTCTCTTTATAGTAAGCAGTTTGTAGCCGATTCGTTTATAAGCGGTCCAGTTCATAAATGATTTGGTTTGCAAGCGGTTCGGTTTATAAACAATTCGGTTTATATACAGTTCGGTGCAAAAGGATCGCGGGTTGTTAACGGTTCGGTGTAAACGGGTTTTATCCTGGTTCAAACGGTTTCGGGTTGAAAGTGATTTCGGGTTAGAAACAGTTCGGTTCTTTTTTGATTAGGTTTGATTTAAGTTTGGTTTAGAACTGGTTTGGTTAATTGACGGGTTCGGCTCTTATACGGTGTAACGTTATTCGGATCGGTTCAGTTTCGGGTTCATTCACATACGGTTCGGGTCGGTTTTCGATTTCAAAAAAAGGTTTTTAATTGATTCGATTCTCATTTGAGTCGGTTTGTTTTGGGCAGTTAAACGGTTTCGGTTTGAAATTTAATTGCAGTAAATTAATCACTCAACTTTTTTGTCATTATATCACGTCGGAATATTTACTAAATAAGGTCGTATGATACAATGGGGTATGAACATAGAAAAACAATGGGGTTGCTATTTGAATATTTACTAAATAAGGTATGATGCAATTTTTTAGGTAAATGGCACAATTTGGGAGTAAGGCAGTGACATTTTTTTATTCACTCATGCTCTAATATTGATGGGGCCATACTTGTCATAATGGAACAAAATTGTTGTCTTATATCACGTGTTTAGCAAGTTAATCAGACAAGCCAATTCAACTGTTAAAATATTTACAGTATGATCTGCTGAGATTTTGTTATATACATTCAGATTTTCCGTACATTTATAAGTATTTTGTTCTCATTTTGCTGAAAAAAAGCAAAAACTAACCATAAATTAGATAGGTGTATGATACACCGATGTATATAAAAAATTCTATGATCCGCTACCTTTATTTATACTCCAAAAGCATGAGAATTTACATACTCATTCTTTTTCAATTTATTAAAATTAAAGGTGGTCCATATTAGAGTGCCCAAAACATTTAACTTTCTAATTTGAGTTAAATTCTCTTAGATTTATAACACAATATGATTATCCATATTTTATTAATACGAAATATAACCAAAGAAGACAAAAAAAAACGAATTACTTCGTACTATACACAAGACAAAAAGACGTACAATTGGAAAATTTTTACCGACAACACTCTAAAATTTAGAAATTGACTAAGAGCCACACAATTCAAGTGCAAAAAAAAAAAAAAAAAAAAAAAAACAAAAAAAAAAAAATCCAACAATTCAATCAGTTGATTGATACATAGCTCGCTCTAAAATTATTTTTTTGAACAAGCATTTTACTTCTTGCATGGAGGCAAAGGAGAGCCACACAAACACTTGTTATGTGCATACGAGTACTTATCGACACTCTTCAACTCCTGGCTACTCGGAATTTTACCACACAACCGGTTGTAACTTACGTTAAAACTTTGTATATGTTCCTGTTTCGCCAATGTAGGTGGAATGCTACCGTAAATCATGTTATGACTTAATTCAATAACATTTAATTCTTTAGGAAACCTCACTTTACTAAGGTCGAACGAAAATTTGTTCCTCGAAATGTCGATGGATTGTAAGCCCTTGTTTGTCCCGAACAACATCGAGGCATCACCGGTGAACATGTTCCTATTAAGGTCTAGAACCGAGAAGTTGACCGCTCCTAGAGATTTTGGGAGCGGTCCGTAAAGTTGGTTCTTGGCTAGCTTAAGGTAGAAATCCGGGTTGTTTTTAAACCCTCCAAAGCTCGCGGGAATTGTTCCTTTGAGTTGGTTACGCTCTAAGAAGAGTGCGCCGAGTTTGTGGAGGGATGATACAGAAGGCGGGATTGGACCGGTGAGTTTGTTTACGGAGAGGTTAATGTAGGTTAATTTTGTGAGTCGACCAAAAAAATCGGGGATTGAACCGGTTAAGTTGTTATGGCTAAGCCATAAGAATTTAAGGTTTTTAAGCTTGGAAATGGTTTGAGGGATTGGACCGGTTAGCTTAGGGAGGTCAGTGAAGATGAGTTGTTCAAGGTACGGGAGGTCTCCGACGGTGTCGGGGATGTGTCCCGCAACCTCATCGTCTCTATTGACGGAGAGGCTGATAATGCGGTTGGTTGTTTCGTCGCAGCTGACTAAGTACCACTCACAACAGTCGGTGTCGTGTGTCCATGAGGCGAACATGTCGGCATTGTTGAAGGCTTTTTTGATCTTGAAGAGGGTTTTTTTGTCGTCGGGGTGGCATTTTTCGGCCGAGAGGATTGAGGCGAGGAGGAGGAAGAGGAGAATGGTGGAGAAGAGTGAAAGTTGATTATAGCTACTCATTGTGATTTTTTGTTGTAGAATGTTTGAGGATTGTGTTTGGGTTTTATAAGAGTGTTGGGTGAAAAAATAGCTCTTCATAATCGTGAAATGAGTATGAGATTACGACATTAAAACATTAGTCCCTAAATGATTTGAGGTCAGCTAATATGAATCGTCATAAGAAAATATACGGTATAACATGATGATACTATTATAAAATAAAGGAGAAGTATATGAAATAAATATTAGTAATGCTTAATTCAAAGATTTTTTATTTTTTTATTTTTTTTTAAAAAAAAATCCAATTATTGTTAATATGACTTGACAAGAGTAATTACATGCAGACTACGAGTATAAAATAATAAAGATAGCCGACTCCTGTCTTTTTCTTTTCTATATCATATCCCCATTTTGCACTTCACATCCCTCTTCACTAGCTAGCTGCTAGTTATCAGTTTTTGAAACATGTCTTATTAATAAATCAATTATATTATTATCCAGTCTGCCTTCCATTTTTATTGGCATGTTTGAGAAACTATACAAACAAAACAAATGAAACTAATTAAGGGTTCGTTTGGCATTGTTGTGATTTTTTTTGTTTTTTGTTTTCTAAAAGAATATGATATGTGTCCCATAATGAATCAAAAATTATATAAACTTATTAAAATTATGATAAATTTGAAAATTGACAATAGAAAAGTGAAAACACCTTTTTCTTGTTTCTAGTTTTTGGTTTTCAAAAAAATTGAAAACTGAAAATCAAAACTGATGTCAAACAAGCCTTAAACAAATAACAATATCGGTAAACTTATTACAGTAAAGAAATAATGTTACCATCAGTTGTAAGATTTTCAACAAACAATTTACTATCTCCATTTTTATAATGTGTAATAAATGAAAATTTATGTCTCACAATTAATATACATTTGTTATTTATATCTCGTAAGAAATAAATGAAATACTTGTAATTCAGATCATTAGATGTGGTGTGCATATTGTAATGGATAAAAAATTAATGCTCACCTTACCTAGTTGTTTTAATTGGTAAACCACTTAACTCAATCAAAACCTTTAAGTATGCCCATAGAATAAGTGCCTATTTTATTCCAAAATTCATAAAACGTTTTTGCATGTGTTGTTAATTTGTACTAAACCAATACTTACCTTTTGCTTATAAATAAAATTACATGTTTAACTCGTGATCATTTAAAAATTAGACGATGTCCCTAATGAAAAGCACAAAATATCAGTCTTTAAACATGTTTAACTCGTCGAAGATCTTTATTCTTTATACTTTAGAGGTGGTGGACAGTTGTACTTTCATCATTAATCGCCATCACAATTATATTTTTGGTTGGTAGTGGGGGAATTTAGTCACAATTGCATTGTTTGTTTTTTATTTCTTCCCTCCCCGTGTAGTTGACCTTTTTTTAAAAAAAAAAAAATTATTTATCTACTATGTATTAGCTTTGACTATAATTTACTAACATAAAAACTAATTTTATTATGATTACATTTTTTTTGGTGCAAATGATTACATGTTTTTAAACAGATATTAACATCTAATAAAAAAAAGGTTTAAATATAACATTTTATTATCATTTTTTTAAGGCAAGCGGTAGGATTCAATATATTAAAGAAGATCAATTTCCGTTAAAGTTAATCAACTTTGAGGAAAAGGACCTAAAGATACAAACTCATCACAACCTCTAGTGTCCCAACTAGCGACATTATGAGCTAGAGTATTACCCGCCCGCTTTACATGAGAAATTAAAAACGAATTAAAACAGGAAGATAGCCTAGTAATATCGTCATACAAAAGAAAAATAGGGGAAAATCCTTTCGCATTATTACTTTGGACAACCTTCACCACATTTACAGCATCACTTTCAAGCTGGACATGAGTAGTCCATAGCAACAGGCATCAGTTTCCGCACACCCTACATCCCACCCAGAACCCTCATCACGAACTGTAGCTGCAACTATAACCCCTTGTTCATTCCTGATCACCAGGGGCGAAGCCAGAAAATAAAATTTAGGGGGACCAAGACTTATACTACATATTGAGTAAAATAGTAATGTATAATTGTATATAATGCTTTTATTATTGTAATTTTTTTTATTTATATTTTTTTATGTAGTGGTATTAATTAAATTTGAGTAGTCCTCAAAAAAACAATTTAAGCGTAATTTTTATTAGTTAATAAAAAAAAGGTAACTACGTAAGCTATGTAACTTAGGCAATTAAAGTTATAGGGAATAAAAGAAGCAAAAATGGGTTTTTTTTTTAAAAAAAAAAAGGCAATTGAGGCTTATAAGATTTGAACTTGGGTCTACTGTTGGTAAGTATAGGGGTATAACCAGTTGAGCTAATAACTTAACATCACTATAACTATGCAGAAATTAACACTTTATACTATTTATTTAGGGGGGCCAGGTTTAAAAATAAAGGGGTTGACGATTGGGCCAGGGGGCGCGGGCCTCCACCAGCCCCCCTTGGCTCCGTACTTGCTGATCACAACCCCAACCCAGTTTTAACTCCCAAGTGGGCATCGTAATTTATTTTGACACTTCTCTGGCTTGGGCAACCGTGTACTACGCGCGAGCTAGCTGGTGGGCAACCACTCTGGATGGGCCTACTAATCACTCTCCCAGCATACTCATTACTCTCTGGCACCATATTCACAAAACCCCTAGCAACCTCAACGACATTATTAAACGTATTCGGCTCAAAGATGGACATGATCCTGCAGTACCATGAGGCATAAGCTAGCATAACGGTAGTAACTATGATACATTTTTGGAAAGCCATAGCAGTCTCTCTATGAAGGTGGAAGTCGTCGAGGCCTGCTGGATTTGAGCGACAAAAGGGCTAGCGACTCAAATCTCCGTCGCTGCTATGCAATCAAATGTGGCGTGGATTATTGTTTCCTCCGAGGCTTCACAGATTGAGCACGTCTTGTTAGTAGTAATATATATGGCGATAGGCTAGTCGTTCTTTAACCGCGAGAAAACCTTTACATGCCCTCCATAAAAAGTGTTGCAATTTTGGGGGACACGTTAGAGACCAAATTAGTCTCCACACCGTATCCGTATCCACATTCGAAGTAGAAATCATGGACTTCTTGCTCAACCAATACCCCGACCTAACACAATATTTGCCATCCTTCGATAGCCTCCAATACATTTTATCTAGAGAGCTATGAGAGGACAGAGGAATAGTGAAGATTAAGGCTCTATCAGCAGCGTTGAAGTTGTTGTTCATGACATTAATATTCCAAGAATGGCGACTGTGATCTATCAAATAAATAACTCTCAAATCTATAATGTTGGAAACCAACAAAGTCAGCATAAGGGCTAATTTATTCCCAGGCAACCACACATCACTCCACAGTTTGATCTCACTCCCTTTTCCCGCTCTCCCACTACTAGAAAAAGGATTATTTCGACGGAAAATTTCTGTCGGAACCACCCCAAAATCCGTCGGAAAACACATTTTCTGATGGAATTTCCGTCGGAGGAGAATTTCCAGCACCAGGATAATCCGCCAGAAATTTCCAACGAAATTACAATTTCGACGAAAATTTTCGACGGAAATTCCGTCGGAAACTATTTTTCAGAAATTAGAAAAAAAACGTCGCGCCACCACGGCACGGCGTATCAACCACCACCAACCAGCCCACACCACCCGTATCACCAACCCCCTAACCCGTTCCACCACCCTCAACCACCAGAACCCCTACCCACCTAACCCTAACCCACACAAACGAGCCTAGATCTACAACCCCACCTAAGCAAACCACCCACCACCCACCTAAAACCACCACCGCCACCACTGAAACAAAATCACAGCCAAATTTTTTTAAAAAAAAAGAAAAAAAAAATTAAAATACCAATCAAACACCCAAAACCCGAACACAAATTTTTTTTTTTTTGAAAAAAGTTAGAACCAAACATCACCACCACCAAACCCAAAACCCGACCGAACCCACACTCTAACCCACCCACCTAAAACCCTCCACACGTAAGACACTACCACCACCACCACCAAACCGACATTCAAACACACCAACCTAAAACCATCCAAAAAAAAAAATCAAAAACAAAAATAAAAACATTAAAACGTACCTTAAAAATCAAAAAGCTTCGAAATTCCCTCAAACTTGGTTTAATAAGATCAAATTCGACCATGAATACACTAGATCTAGCATTTTCATGGTCGAATTCGACCTTAAAAACCATTAAAAATGTTGGCAAGAAGAGAAGAGGAGATAGAAAGAGAAGAGGAGAAGCCGACGTTGATGAGAGGAGGAGGAGAAGATGAGGGAAAGGAGAGGAGGGAAGGGGAGTCAGAAGAGAAGGGAGGAGGAGATCGAGGAGAGAGAAAGAGAAGATGAGAGGAAGAGAGGAGAGAAGAGAGGCGGAGGAGAGAGAGGGAAATGTGAATGAAATGGGGGTAGGGGAGCCGTTTTAATTAGGGTTTGGGGTTTTTTTATGTTTTTTTTATTATTTTATTAAATCCCGTCAGAAAGTCTGTAAAATCCTCGTAAATTTCCGACGGATTCATCCGCCGGAAATTTCCTACGAATTTGAAAATCCTTCGGAAAGTACGAATTTTCCGACGGAAATGGGCCTTTTTCTTGTAGCTTAGTGTCCATTTGAGGCCCTCAAGAAGCAATTCTTTTGCACCCCACATGCTTCTCCAAGCATAACTCGGGTCATATCTCCTACTAGCCGCCAATACATCACAATTTTTAGAATATTTTGCCTTTAGAATCGAGTGGATAAAGTACCCGAATAGTGATGTAAACGCCAAAGTTGCTTAGCAAGGAGGGCTTGATTGAAATATTTGAGATCTCAGAATCCCATACCTCTTAGAGCCTTAGGCCGACATGGGAGCTCCCACCGTTGCCAATGCATCTTGCTCGCGGACTCCGTATGTAGATCCCCACCAAAAAACGAGCTAACATTGAGTGAATCTCATCAATGAGGCCATCCGAAAGCTTAAAGATACTCATCATGTACGTCGAGATCGCTTGAGCCACCGCTTTAATCATGACTTCCTTACCCAGCCTAGACAACAATTTTTCTTTCCACCCCTGCAATTTCTTTTATAGTCTTTCTTTCAACTTTGCAAAAATCACTTTTTTCGATATCCCAATAATAGTCAGCAAACCAAGGTATTTCTCATGTTGCTCAACTTCACGAATCCCCAAATTATCGATAATTTCACACCTTCGAGTTGCACATACCTTTTTGATAAAGAACACTTCATTCTTGCTTAAATTGACTTTCTAACCCGATGCTCTCTCATATGTGCTAATGATATTAGCTAAAGTTAAGCATTCTTGCTACTAGCTCTGGAAAAAAAAGGATACTATAGTCAGCGAAAAAATAGGTGTGCCCGGGGAGCATTCCTATTTCATTTTTTTAAAAAAATAAACTACTTCTA